TGATAAACAGCCGTACACAGCACAATTCACGACCACTGTAAACAGTAACGTAAAATTATGTTTTATATTAACGTACAAGTTTCGTAATTAATAAATGAAAACTATATTCAAATATCAAAGCCATTTTCGCGTGAAAACGGCTCGCCGGCAGTCTTGTTGTAGTTCAGTCAATGTGACCGGCAATTTGCGGGGCGTGGTGCGGTATCTAAAGCTAGGGAGGGGCGGAGAATGTCCGTTCTCTTATTCTTTATTCTCTGAAACAAGTTAAAAGGAAGAAGGAGAAAAACAGACAAACTAAGCTAAAGAAAATATATATAACAGTAGGAAAGGTAAGTTTGCGGAAAACGACTAAAACATCTCGAAATAGTAAAGAGAAATAAATAAATAATAATAATAACGCACACACTCAACATAGCCCCGCACTAGGGAAACCCTGTGTCGCGGGTGCCATGGACACACACATAGACAACCACAAATTACACCCAAACTCACGAGGGAAATAAAAAAAAAAAATAAATAAAGGAGGAGGTTCCTAATTCGACTGTATTTTTTTGTGTATGTTAGGCGATAACTCCGGCCGATTTGTGAACCGATTTTGATGATTCTTTTTTGTGGGAAGGACCGTAAGGTAGCCCCCAGTAAAATAAAAAGGGTGGCAAACTAGGGGATAAATGACTTTTGAGGTCGATTTTTTTAGTACTCTGTGCTGAGATTGTATCACAATTGTATCCACGTACCAATATTCATCAACAGGTTATCTATGACATAACGATTTACATCTTCCGTTCTATTCCATTTGTACAGGGTAGTTAGGCATTGGGGAAATAAGGCCCAGCTCACTTTATTTATATTCTAACATTTTTTTTTTACATTTGCATTTTGCTTTTTGGTTTTTATTTGCACAAACATCGAATCGTATTAATATCCTCATATAATAACATACTTACATTATGTTTTATAAATGTTACGTTACGTATACCCAACCTACAAACAGTTATACCTACCTATGACAAAAGATAATATTCACTTGGATTATGATGCAAGCTATGTTTTTGTTACCCGTGGCCAGTGAGCATAATATCATAGCCCGTGGCCGCAACAAAGGCCCAAAATAATTATTTTTCAAATTATACAATTGCGTTGTCAAGCTTGTGTTTAACAAATATAAAAAATAATAAATGCATAATAAATATTTGGTAGGAAATTAAACTATTTTTCCGGATTTAAATCGCGTGTATATGTTTTTTCAAACAATCCGATGTTACGGGCCCTTTACTGGTCCTATGGTCACGGTTGACTGAGGTGGTATAGTAAATAGTTTCAATTGTGTATCCATTTCCGTTTCTGTGTCCATCTCTATTTGTTTCGGGTATGGTCGGTTTAGAAACTCTGGAACTGAGATGGGTATTAAAGACACATACTCACTATTGCCTACTCACTTTTATGCCCTAAAGTGGATAATCTGTCTTGGAAAAGCTTGGTCTATTTGTGCCGGATCGGTATGCAAGTGTGGCCGGACATAGGACGCGGCGCGCACGAAACGTATTTGCCCTGCCATTTTGAACGCGCGCGCGCTCCCGACACGCCTGAACGCACCCACCACCAGAGCCATCGCAATGCTCAACGAGTTTCTGGCTCAGGGGGTCTACTCTCGATCTCCGTCCGACATCCGTCCGAAACAATTACTGTCAAATAAGTAATATTCGACAAAATTAAAAGACAAGTATCAAGTACGAAGCGCATTCGCATCACGCGTCTTTTCATTTGGTCAAGTATTGCTTATTTGGCAGTAATTGTTTCAGACGGATGTCGGACGGAGATCGAGATTAGATCCTCAGATCCGGGAGGCTGATCTGTTTGCCGACAAGTGGCGTGTCCTCTCAGCGGTCTGAAGTCGCTTTGTAAATTTAAGATAAGTGTTACATTGTAGTAAATTGTGTAAAGTTGTGTGTATTTACTTTTTTTCTTTCTTTGTTTAGTTTTTTAAGTATTATTTTGTATTTTATATGTTATATTTAAATTTTACATTATCTTTACGTCTTGTTGGACGCTTTGGCTTAAGCTGTAAGTCCAAAAGAATGTTTTCTTTATAAATAAATAAATTTCCTATGAAATCGCGAAAACCTAAGAACTCGAAATGAATATTTGACATAAATAAGTTAATAGAAATCACGATTGAATAAGTCTAATTACTTATACTACTTACATACTTACTGATAGAGTAAGTCTTATTGTCGCCCAGTAAGTAGTGACTGAGAGCGGCCTAATTGACAATGCGGTGGAGCATCTGAGTGGCCACGCCAGTCGTCGCCCCCGCGTTATGTGCGTCCTTATTGGTCCGTTCTGTATGTAGAAATTAATTGAAATATCTACTTTTAAAATAGGTGTTCGTTCTTTGTATTAATAATTATAACAAACTAGTGGAGTAATTTGAGAAAAAAAAAATCATGGTGGTGAAACATCCTCATATTCAATAAACTAATTATCTACTTTTGAATTCCTGGGCCTTATTATCGGGCGGGTTTTTTTAGGGTACCTTCCTTATGTTGCCTGTTAATCAAACTCACCTCATGTTTTCGCAGTGTTATTTGTTAATTAGACACTCGTCGACTCTACCAAAACAATCTTAAAATGTTTTTATTTTTTGAAAATATACTCAGATACTTACATGCCTGTTTCTATAATATGTAGGCTACTACAACACTGTGAAATTAAGATTTAGATATTTTAGATGAAGCGCCCGCGCAGTGCGAGTGCGTTGGACGGTCGGCGATGAGCTGATGCAATTTTCTGGGTCATCGGTACAAAACGGCGGTTGCAAAACGGACGCGCGAATTTTATAATAATCGTGTTATTTATCTATACAGACAACAACAGTATAAGTCCAAGGGTACAGTAGACTCACCGAATAGCTCAATGGATGCGTTAGGTTGGTGTGCTAGAATAATGTCAGTAATTACTTAATTAACAATTGATTTGATTAGATTGAAACGCGAGTAGGTAAAGTAGATTATTAAGTGAGTTAGTTACCTTTGACACTGATCTCGACTTCAGGCTCTGAGACCATTCGATCAGGATCCGAATGAAAGATATCGTAACGGGCACTGAGTGACTTTTTCGTTCCACTGACAACAATGGGCGCCTCGAGAACAACGATTGCCAGTAGGCATTGAAGAGTGTAACTTTTCGACTTCACTCTACGTTGCAAAAACACGAATCACGCCTTATAATAGACTCCACCTTAACCAAGTAATTATGCAAACGTCGTTAGTATTAGCGACTCCATTGAAAGTTGGACGTCGCATTTAGGTGCCTACGTAAATACAGCGGCAATTGACCGCGTAAGAGAAGCTGGCGTTTCTATTGATCGTGTTTTACAATGTGAAGTGATAGGTCACCCGTGCGTGTGCGAGTTTTAATCAGCAGTTATTTAACGAACTCGATGCGATTCTCTGTATCTCGGTCAGCAGAGGCTGCGCGGGCGCATAGCTCAACATAAATTTACATTTTAAAATAAGTTTATTTCATAAGCAAGCAAATTACATGTCAAATGATAAACAACAACATTAGTCAATTACTAAAATACCAATCCCTAGGGACATTTCTTTGAGGTGAACGAGTAAGAATGAATTATTTGTAATTTGTAATCATTGGTTCAAAAATAATACAGGCAGAAACGACCCGAATGAGCCGACCGAATCCCCCTGCTCCTGTGACCTTTGCCATCCCAGTTAGCAGAAGCTACAATTTATCATTTAACGGATTTAATTGACAAGAAAAGCCAGTTTATTTCTGTTTCTTGTGTTAATATCAATCACGTTGTATGAAAATATTTGGCGTATGTAGGTATGAACCTGTTTGTGCTATTTGATTATAAATAAACAAAGTGGCAGTGCAATTTCCTTAAACTAATTCAAACAAATTTGAAGCTTCAAAGTTATATCAGAGGCACTCGGGGTCTAGTTTGTAAATAGCCCTGACAACACGAATCTACAGAACAAAGGTTCTATTAATGTCGGCGACATTTAGTCAAAGCGAAGTTCGGCGCGTTATGTAACGCGAGGCGCGAGATTCGGTTTGCACAATCGTACTAAATTCCGCCGCGGGCCTCAGCGGCCCGTAATAATATTCAAATTGTTAAAAATGCGAAGGTGTTCTCCTCACCTTGAAAGAAGCCACCTAATTAATGAGTTACAATGTCAACTGGTTGCGGTGGCAGTGGTGGTACCGAATCACTTGTTCTTTGGTAACATCGTCGTTCAAACCGGCCGGCCATGCGCAGTGGCCGTACAACGAAGGCGTCACCTAAGTTAATTCTTATTTATCGTAAAGCTCGGTTTTCACTATACGAGTGCGCTCGGGTGCTGCTCGTAGCGTGTAAACACGTGATCCGAGCGCACTCGGACGCGGTTCTATTCTTACGAGTATACTCGGATCATTTTATGAAAACAAAAGAAACAAATGCTACTTGGATGCTGATGAACTTGTAAGGTGTATAAACCGAAATCCGAGTGGACTCTTGTACGATCCAGCGCGTACGAGCGCACTCGGTCCGAGCGCATTCGTATAAAACCGAACTTTACGGTTAAGCTAAAATATATACCGACGAATTATTGTAAGTGTTAAAATTACTAACAAATTATTTGAGGCACCTCCTTATTTCTTTCTTTCTTTCTTTTTCTAAGTAAAATTTCGTCAGATAAGTTTCTAAAGTCCCACTTGTCCGACAGGAAAGTTTGCAACAGGCAATCGACACTTACTGTGTGCATCAAGTACTGGTATAATAAACCAAAATATAATAATAATAATTTAGTAAAACTTTAATTCATATCTGTTTAGGGATTTCACCTTTTTAAAAACTATGAAGTACTATCACAGACCTAGGATTACGCGCGCTAAGTATTGTGTATAATTATCACGTAAACTCTGAACTGTTAAATAAGGAAGAGTACTGTACACTTACGTATTACTATATGTTGTTTTCTTAACGGATGCGATAGCAGGGGCGCGGCGCAACGTCCGGCGAACGATGCCGATGCTCGCGACCGATCGCGCGCCGAGTCCTGTTTCGGCGCAGCAGCTCTACGATAGACTCTGTAAGTACTGTACCGTTGTACGAGACGCTATTTTATTTATTTGTTATCTAAAAGGAAGACCAACAGGTTAAAACTAAATTGAATAATTATAATACCAACTGAGAGCCAATAACAGTTCTTCAGAAATGTAAATATAGCATGGGAACAGTGTGCACAGTTGAACTAGCCACAAAAGCTTGATAAAAGACCACTGCAGTTGTAAGCCTCACAATGAGTCAAAGAAGTATTCTTATCAAAGACGTACTTGTACTAATTTAATTCATGAGTCATGACTAGCATCGCTCTTGTCCGCAGTCAGCCTGTACCGCGGTCGCACCGCTGACTCCAGCGCCTCCCACCGAGCTCTTACACCTTTCCCCTACGAACTTACCCTCGGTGAGTGTCAAACGAGCCACCGCTCCAATCGGTACGGCATTAACTACTTGATCTACAAACGAATGTGCTGGTGTTGCCAGGAGGCGGCGTGTCAGGTGTCAACGTGACCACGCTGCCGGTGCTGGTGCTGCCGCTGCCCGTGCTTGTCGGCCTGCCCTCGGCTAACAACGGCGGTAAAGCACAGTACCTTTTCCTTGTGTTGTGGCGAAGGACGAATATGAGGCGCCTTTTTATAGAAACTCATACACTCGTAAAACTTCCTCTGCTGTAGAGTGCAACGCACATGCGAACCGCAGCGAGGCGCAAACCGGCGCGCAAGAGCACGACGACGACTACAGATACGACTTGGACACGCGCTACGGCGGCGCCGGCGGCACGCCGCCGGTCGATAACTTGCCTGCGGTCGCAGGTGAGAGACGGCGCCAGCGCCGGTTACCCGCACCAACGCAGATATTACGACTTACGCGTTTATTGCATTACAGTCACCTCGGAGCAGCTAGTGGAGCACTTCCGCGCGCAGACGTCTCTAGCGCCGCACCTGCCGCCCGCCGTCATCGACGAGCTCGTGCCGCGCGTCGGAGCCAGCTTCGAATACGGCGTCAGCGGCGGCTCCCGGCCCCCGCAAGAGCCGCGTCCCTTTGCCCCCCGAGTGTACCTGCCGCCCTCGCCCTCGCCGCGCACTCCCGCCGCGCCCCCGCCGCAGCCGCGCTTCAGGCGCTCGACGATGCTGCGCGCCACGCTGTCCGTGCCGCGCGCCGACTACGCCGAGCCCTACACCGCCTGGTAGGCCCTCGCAGCCTCCGAGAGGCGGCCGCGGTCGCCGGTCGCCGGTCGCCGGTCGCCAGTCGCCGGTCGCCGGTCGCACTGGGCCCATTCCTCGTCTGTGCGCAGGTGGGACGCGGCCACGGGCGCGGCGCGCGTCGACTTCCACGGCGGCGCCACCTCCACCGTCCGCACCATGCTGCCTGATGGGCGCGTGCAGCGTGTCGAGGTCCGTTCTCCCGACGTGTAATTCCAACAGCAGTAACCTGTTCGGAGTCACTATAACCTGTGTCCGCCTTTAGATGCGCTTGGACCGCACTGGCGCCGCGGACGTACGCCGCTGCGGCTTCGCGGATCCTTCGCCCGTCTCCTCCGAAGATCGCGCGCTTCCCGCTTTACCGGATATAGAACTGTTCACATTTGCAGGTGAGCATTGTCTATGCCAAAATGCAGAGGCATGTCTGAGAGGTTACTCGTAAAGCTCGATAAGCTCGACTTAGTGGTTAGACGTGCGAGTTTTTCGAGCTTGTACTAGATAGGTATGGTATTATATTTGTACGTAGAGTACCGCGCTGAGGGCGAAATCTGGCGGCTCGAGCTGAAGGGCGGCGCGGGAGAACTGGGTGCGGCGAGGGGGGAGGCGCTTACTTACCACCATGAATTGCAGCTGCGCCGGGACGACGCAGGAGAGGCCATCCCCGTCAGGTACGCCACAGCGCAGCAGATTGCTTGCACTGCGTCGCCGAATAGCGGTTCACTTTCGTGCGTGTCCTAGGTACTCAGTAGTGGTGGACAGTTCGGTGCTCGGCGCCGGCTGCGACTCCTACGAACATCGCTACGAAGAAGTGCGAGCGCAAGAAGTCGACCCGGCCATCTTCTCCGCGGATCTTGGTTAGTTCAGCTGAGGCGACCCCGTTGGTCTGTGCCAGCAATTGTCTGCCGAAGCTCGTTGGCCGTGTTGATTGGCGACCCGGTATTACAGATCTGCAGTGCGACGTTCGCGAGCGGGTAGACCCTCAAGACGCGGAACAGATGGCACGGCTCGAGCCGCTGCGCGAGTTCACCATGCAGCGACGTGACCCTCGATACGACGACGGCCTGCAGCGGTAACATGCTCGGCCTCTGCCCCGTTAAATTTAGTGGTGTCAAACAGGAGCGCAATCTTAGCGGACCGTTCGTTATAGGTTCGTCCGTGAGTTTGAGAGGCAGTACAAGGATGACACCGAGGAGGCGGTGCGCAAAAACCTGTTCGTGCAGCATTCGCGGTTCGTCAACTCCTGCAACCGCGAGGGTGCCACCTTCGAGGTGGAGGTGAACTTCCTCGGCGATCGCCTCGACGTGGAGCTGGACGTGCTGCTGGGCACGCAGTTCAGCGACGCCGACGACGGCGCCGGCGACGACGCCGCCCCGACGTCCCGCAAGGCGCAGGACGGCGCGCAGGAGCTGCCGCGGGAGTTCGACTGGCGGCCGCGCGGCGCCGTCTCGCCGGTGCGCTGTGAGTGCCGCCGTCTCGCGCGACTCGCTCGCGACCGGCCACGCCGATCCCCGCTTTGAAGTCCCCGCTCATAAAAATACATAGCTGTATTTATTAAAGTGGCGTTGTCGTTGTCGTTCTCTTCATTGTCAAACTCGTGTCCGTTCGGAGAATTTATGTACAAAAAGTATGTACAAAATAGGTACATAAAATCAATAATTTGTGCAATGTGTACCATATGTTGCGCGAACGTTAATTTATAAGTACCTACGTACTTATCGGACGACAGTACTTGCCGATGACGCCACACAAGCGTACGGCACATAACGCCGTAACTGCGCAGGCGCTTTAGTTGTGCGACAATCCCGACTCCGCGGGTGTTCCAGATCAGGGCTCATGTTCCTCGTGCTGGGCGTTCGCGGTCGTCGGCTCCGTGGAGGGCGCGCTGTTTATACGCACGCGCAGCCTCGTGCCGCTCTCCGTGCAGTGCCTCGTAGACTGCGCGCATTCGTAAGTTTGAGTTCCTCGGGGCGAGTGTCGCCGGTCGACCGAAGGACGAAGCACTGGAAGCTGAGCGGTGGTGTGTCGCAGGCACGGCGCGAACGGCTGCCGCGGCACGTGGCCTAAACACGCGTACGACTACGTGCGCGACCGCGGTCTGCCGCACTACGACGAATACACGGCGTACAGCGAGCGAGTGCTGCCGTGCCGCGCGCCTCCCGTGCCGCCCGTCACCCACATCAGCGGACATGTCAACGTTCAGCCCGGCGACCTCGACGCGCTCAAGGTGGGCTCGCCGCGATCCGCGACCACGGCGAGGTGTTGCCGCCCGCGCGTACCACTACTAATGCGATCCATCTAACAGGTGGCGATTCGCCGGCACGCTCCCACCGTAGTCGTCGTCGATGCTAAACCGAAAAGCTTCATGTTCTACAAGAAAGGCGTTCTGAAAGACGAGCGATGGTACGTGTCCCCGCGTGTTTATTCGCGTTGACTGTGAGGTGCCACGGTGGCGACGGAAATGAACGTTCTTAATTGGCCTTTCTTGCAGTGTGAAGGGGCCCAAGAAGAAGCTGAACCACGCCGTGCTGGCCGTGGGATGGGGTGAACAGCGAGGCGAACCGCACTTCATCCTGAAGAATACCTACTCTGCGGCCTGGGGCGACGGAGGCTACATCCGGCTGCACGGGCCGTCCAACACGTGCGGCGTCCTCTCCGTGCCGTCGTACGCGCGCCTGCGCCGCCGCGACGTGGACCGGCCGCCCTCCGGCGCGGGCGCCGCCGCAGACCTCGACTACTCCGACGAAGAAGATCGACGGTGACCGAGCGATCTCGTGTGACATATTATATTACATTTCCTAGTCAAGATCGTGTTAGTATGTATGTGTCCCGTTAACTAACTCCTGGAGTGGTATCTACTCCATTTCTTCGATCTTAACGACTATTGCTTTCAGATTCTCCATGATGAAGTACGTACACCTACTTACTAGGGATTTGTCGAACTAAATAAAGTAAGGTAGTAGTGTAATATTACCATTAGTACAGTACGCGCAGTGAACCTCTCGGTTCCCTCCATTGATCACGCCATATTTTCGCGCTAAACCACTAGCGCTATACAGCTAGGTTGAAACTTTGATAAATGACGTTGTAGATAACAGTAATTGCGAAGTGATGTCACAATTAAATGAAATTAAAATATGGAAAAGTTTTTTATTTACACGATCTTGTTGCTACAGGAAAGTGCATAGTTCGCCGACCAATGTCAGTAGGTAGTGAGCATAAATAACTATAATATCATTGAGTGTCTGTGTATATACGTGAAAGTGTAGTTCTTATGTACCAGCAGCGACAAATTGGTCGAGAATAATGAATAACAGAGGGTAAGAACAACCCTATAGTTATTAGGTGTGTTCTTATGGCCAACCATCCGAAGTGCCCTAAAATCCTGCAAAGACGAAGATACAAGGTGACTATTTAATCACCACACAAAAGACAATGGCAAACTACCATATAAATTTTTAACCGACTTCAAAAAAGGAGGAGGTTCTCAATTCGACTGCATGTTTTTTTTTGTATGTATGTTACGCGATAACTCCGGTATTTGTGAACCGATTTTCATGATTCTTTTTTTGTTGGAAAGGGGGTACTTCCATAGTGGTCCCATTTCATTTTGAAGAAAATCATCCACCTCGAAGGGGACTGTTCACGCATGAAGATTCATTTTTATAAATAGCGCCTAACTTTAATTTAGGAGCATTTACTTTTAGCAATTATTTAGTTGATTTTGCTATTTCTCCAATTCAAGGCGTATTTCCCTCGATATACTTTGAGTAGTGTCATAGTGAGAACCTATTTTTATTATCTCCAGTATCAAGTCCTGTATAGTGGCGAACTAGGGGATATTCCAATGAAACTTAGCAAATAGACGTAATTCCACGTACTTTTGAGGTCGGTTTTTTTAGTACTCTGTACTGAGATTATTGTTGACGTAATTTGTATGCGTCTGTGTGCCTATGAAAAAATATGTGAAAATGTAGACTTGAAATTCCTGAACAAATTTTGTTTTGGGTTTACTATTATGAGAAGTCAGGAATTAAAGATATCGCCGGAAAGCGATCTTGTCGTATCTCGAAAAATAGGACTTTACACCAGGGCCGAAAAACTATTTCGAAAAATTATTTCTCTTTCATTTGAATTAGTTGAAAGTCAATTTTAAATTCTGAGGTATATAAACGGAACAGCCATAAAATAGCATTGACGAAATTATTTTAAAATTGGTTTAACATGGATTTTATACTAGTTACAGCAATTGCGTTTTCAAAACCAAGCAGCAATTTTGCTGTATATCGAAATTGTAACATATGGCGCAACAAAATATCACACAACTTTCAAGAAGTGATTTTGCTGTAACTAATATCGAGTCCAATACGTTGGTCTAAACTGCACTCACTTTGTACGCTGTTACAATGAAATTAAATCAGTCTCTATCAAAACATAATAATCAAGTGTTCTGATTTTATTGGCACTTCTGACCAAACAGGTACATACAATATTAAGAAATTTTCTGCAATAACTTATGACATAGTAATTTTCAACAAACCAAGGTCATCATAGGACAACAAAACTGCTGTTTTTTAAGTAATGCCTTGTACCGGTTTTCGCAAATGTCTTTTCGCAAATTCCTCCTTCCTCGCTCGATGTTTTGCCATCTAAAATAAGAATTACTAAATTAAAATAAGTACATACAATACTATTATTTCGACCCTTCCTACGTAAAGTATCGTTTGTCGAATTGACAAGTTTACAGGGGAGAGTTTTGAAGTTTGAATTCACTCAAATGAGCATAACACATGATAACACGTGACTAGCATTTCTCGGTTTCATTCGGCACAGCTCGTTCTCAGCTCATAGAGTATCGTAAAATCCCAGACATCGGTAAACTATAGTGAGACTGGGCGCGTCACGTCTGCTGCATGGTGATCGTAGACGAAATCTACCACATTATGGATCCCCAGACAGGAAACGACTTCGCAGCAGACCAACGCGTCAATACAGAGTCGAGCTAGACGCGCACCTAAAAGACTGAATCTAAGTGGCGCAAAACAGAGAAGTGTGGAAGGAGGCGGACAGTACAGGCTCATAATATAATCATAATAATGATGACAGTAACGTACTTACAAAACGTATTTATTTTATCAGTTATATATTCTTGTTTAACCTGATTATTAATATATTATCAAACTCGGGTTCGATTCCCGGTAAGACCAATTTGGGAAATGAATTTTTATTTTATTTTTTATAATAATAAATTGAGGGGACGACCAAGTAATGCTCCTGCTGGTAAGCGGCCCTTAACAATTGCAACGCCACTTTGAGCACTGCTCCTACGCCCGTCACCTTGAGACATAAAGTTGACAAGTCTCGTTTGCTTGCAGTTTCACCAGCACCTATTTCACTCTCACATTACTATTTGACGATAGAAAAAGGAGAGGTGGCAGTAAAAAAAAATAAAAAAAATATTTATTGTTCTTTCCACCTTAACAATACAAATTATGGGGTATTTAAAGTAAAGAACATCATACAGTGAAATGGTGAGGTGGAAGACTGGTGCCTAAACTAGGTTGGACCTGTACTATAGGTCACCAGGTATCCACCACCGGATCTCAATGATGCAATATTGTGATGTTTTTGCAATTACTAAGACGTTAAGGGTAAATTGGCGTGATAATTTGAAAATACACTATTTATTTGTTATTTTGAGAAAAGGTAGTATGACAAATTAGTTTCAATAGAAAAGTTAGTAAGTGTGATAAGAAAGTGATTATATGTAAAAATTTTGAGTGAAAAGTATGTATAATGGGTTAAGGGATGTACAGTGCATGAATGTGTGCGCGCGTGTGTGTATATTAAACATTATTAATAAAAAATGTGTAAAAAAAATGTGTGTATATTAAAAATATGTAAATATGTATATATTAAAAATATGTGTATATTAAAAATATGTATTTTCGAGTTCTTACTTTCAGGAGATTTATGTGTTCGTCAAATTTAAGATGCTGGTCTTTAGTGACACCCAGATATTTTATAGAGGCAGTGCCGTTAAGGTCAGGGCATGTGCACTGTCCTTCCATGTCACAAGCGTGAGCAATCAACTTATGTGTATTGGGCAGTGAAAGTGAGATTGAACGGATGCCAAAGGTTATGTACATCGTTTTAGCAGTGTTGATTGTAAGCAAGTTAGAGTTAAGCCACTGCATCACACGATTGAGACCCGCTTGTGATGATCGGAATCCTTCCTCCCAGTCGCTACCAGCAAACAAAGTCGTCGGCGAAACAGATAACTTTGCCCTGGTATAGATCTAGGCAACATGACTCATTAATGTAGGTCAGGAATAGGGTAGGTCCAACAATACTACCTTGAGGCACCCCGATTTTAGTAGGTGGTTCGGTCTACTACTAGTAAGGTCGCCGATGCGTACACATTGTATTCTATTACATAGGTAACTCCTAAAAAGTTCCATTTGCCTATCCCTGATACCCAAGGCCTCTTCAGTTGTACGGGGATTGTGACCATGTCGAAAGCTTTGGCTAGGTTCAGAAATATCCCTATGCACTTTCTACGCGAATCCAGATTCATACACCGTAGTCGGTTAGAGCTTGAATTGCTTCATTAGTCGATTTGCCCCTACGGAATCCGTATATGCTGTGAGAATAAGAGAGAGTTAGTTTCGAGATAATCCACAAGTCTGGTATTCCTTATACGCTAAAGTACATTCGACAGAGCCGGTAAAATTGACATTGGGCGGTAATTAGTAACCAGGTCTCTATCCCCACTCTTAAATATAGGATGTATAATAGACTTTTTAAATACGTCAGGGAAGAGACCCTGGGATATGGACAGGTTGCAAATACGTGTTATATGTGGTACAAGGACATCTTTAAATGTTTTTAGTATGGTGGAAGAAATGCCATCCCAACCCTATGCACGCCTTTTCAGGGAAATCAGTATTCTTTCTACCTCCTCATTATCCGAGTCAAGCAACACGAGGAAATTACATGCAGAGACATCGACTACCAAGGGCGCGGAGGGATTTTTACATACAATTTTATTAGTAAGCTTAACCCCAATATTGGCAAAGAAGAAGTTGACAGCATCGACAGCCTGCTGAGCACTAGGAGCAATTGAGAGTAAGTCAGTAGCGCTTCTTTTTTTTTAGCTGAGTCTTATTTATATTGAATTTAATCACTTCCCATATTCTTTTTACATTCGACCCTGCTTTAAATGATTGAGATTTTTCGTAGTCTACTTTCAATCGTCTCAGTAAGTTATTACAAAATGCATGTTATCACGATTGCGAATACATCATAAAAGACCTACTGTTATCCATCGGAATGTCAAAGGAAATTAAAATCTTGGGAGTCACAATCGATGAAAAGTTGACTTTCAACACACACGTCACGGAGGTATGCAAAAAGGCAATCAGAATCTACCATCAGTTGACACGCGCCGCGAAAGTAAGCGTCCACTCAACTGTGAAGTTCCCCCAAGCAACCCTCGAAGGGGTCCCCCCTTGTTGTGGCGGGAACTCCTTCTTGGGCTTTTTTTTATCGGTGGAGAAATGCTTTATGCATACGACCGAGCTGGGGAGGCTCGGAACTTATGAGGGACTCTCCCCCATAGTGGAGGGCATACCGCACTAAAACTCCACCGGCGTTACCCGCAAGGCCGGGTGTTGTGGGTGCCGTGGGATCCCGAGGATTCGACCACAATGACACCCCCGGCCATCCCGGTTTTCACCGGGATTCCCGCGCCAAGTGAGGGAGGGTCGGCTCGCATGACCCATCCCCCCAGACGAGTGAGGCTCTGAGAGGCTTTTTATTAAATTTTGTACTATTTCCTCTAATTGTTCTTGTGAGTTTATGTTCTCTACCTTTGTTTTTATGTTGTTATGCTCCATTTTTAATTGGCCGAGTTTTTCATAAAACGAAGTCCAATTAGCTTTCCTGGTATTATATATATCCTGGTGGTTTTATTATTGTTATGGGTTTAAATTTTTTCAGGTGTATATGGAAAATTATGCCGTTGTGGTCCGAGCCCGTCAGATCTTCAACGACTTCCCAGTTGTCTACCAGATCCAGCAGGTTTGTCGAGCAAGCT